TTGTGCAGGACGCTGGGCCTCTGCTGCACGTTCTCCTGCGTGCGGGGGGACACGGGGGAGTGCTGGTGGCTGTAGGAGTGAGGAGCGGTTCGGACGACGGCGCCGCCGCCGACTCCTCCGCCAACGCCTCCGACGCCACCGATAAGGCTGTGCTCCGTACCTGAGAGGAGGAAAAAAAAAAAAAACCGAAAACATTAGCCTTAATTCAAAAACTACCTCCCGATCTCTAACGTCCCTCGTCGACCGACACGCACCCGGGCGCCAGATGGGGGCGTGCTCCACATTCCCCAGGGTGCCTCCTTTCTCCCGGTCTCTCTCTCTGTCCCGATCCCGTCCCCTCTCCCGGTCCCGCTCCCGTTCACGATCCCTCTCTCGTTCCCGCTCGCGCTCTCTCTCTCTTTCGCGCTCCCTCTCCCGCTGCTCTTGCTCGCCGCGCTCCGACGGCGCGCCTTGCATTTTGTTGACGTGAGAAGAGCCGACTGGACGACAACAAAAAAAAAAAAAATGGAGTCAGACACAAAGCGTGGGTTTCAACCGTGCGCCGTTACGACGACGACGTCGACGACGTGCGTCCGTATCCAACGTACCGGGTGAGATGGGGGAGGTGGTGTAAGGCCTGCCCGGAAAGTTGCCGCTTCCCCCGGGGATGAAGTTGATGCGATCCATCGGGGAGCCGGCGGTCCCTGCAGAGGGAGGCACCAGGACAGGTAAGTGCGGTACCTGAGAAAGATCGATGATTCCTGGAGGACAAGACACAAGAGGAGGATGAACAGAAGTCAAACTGAGGGGCGGGGGGCCGGGCCGGGTCCACTCCCGGAGCTTGTGATGAAGGACGGTCCCCGTTTTCTTAAACTCGCCGTTGAGTGTGTGTTGTGTTGTGTTTTTTTTTTTATATGAAACGGCGCTAAAAACCCGTCAGTCCTACCTCGCGGCGCGGCGGAATAGGGCAGAGGCAGAGGCTGGTCCCGCGGCGTCAGGCCCCGGAGAAGCTCCGAGCGCTGGGCGGCCATGGCGGCGGCGGCGGGCGCGGGCCCCAGGGCGGGGCTCCGGGGCAGGTGACGGCCAGTGGTGCATCTGCTGGGAGGTGATGTAGGCGTTGAACAGCGTCTGGCGGTTCTCCGGGGCCGCCGTGTCCGGGAAGCCGCGGATGAGGTACGGGTACGGGTGCGGGTAGGCCGGGTTGGGGGTGAGGTGACGGGGCAGGTAGTAGGTAGCTGCGGGGGGGACAAAGAAAAGAGAGAAGAGTCCGTCTCCGACTGTGGACAAGAAGGGACAAAAGACAATCCTTTTCCGAATTTGTTTTCCAGACCGTGACGTCACCTGGTTCGATGGGAATCCCTCGAGGCAGAGCTGCGGGATCGAAGGCGATGGGGATCTGCCGGTATACGTCCGAGGCTCCCAGACCTTGGAGTAGACGCTCGTAGGTCTGCTGGTCAGGCACTCCAGGCAGGGGGGACTTGGTGGAGCTCATCTCCCGCGGACTCGGGGTGGCCTTACGCTCCTGCGTGGGGTTCTTGTTCGAAGCTGAATTTAAGCAAAAAAAAAAAAAAAAAAAATCAAACAATTTAAGCGGAAAGAACCCGATCCTTCAAGTTGCACCCGAACATCCCCCGAGAGACGATCGACGGCGATTTCCGACCGTCTGCTCACCGTCGTGCTGCCTCTGACTCGCCTCTCTGGACAACGGCGAGCCCCGTGGGTAGGGGGCTCTCAGGGCGCCCTTGTCGTCGTAGCCCAGGGGGCTGTGGTGAGCTTTGGCCCCCTGGTCCGAGCCCAGGGTCAGCGGCGAGGACCGGGCTATGGGACTGGCCGTGCTGACCACGGCGCTGGGCCGACCCTTGGGCAGCTCCTCGTAGCGCCCCCGCTCGGCCCGCATTTCTAGGTGGGAGGCGGGGTTGTGGTAAGAGCGGGGGGAGCTGGCCATGATGGAGCGAACGTCGTGCCGTTTCCCCGAGCCGCCGGACTCCTGCTTCAAGGGAGCCCCCTGCTGCGGAAGAGACGACAAAGGGGGAACACGTTATGGTCAGGGTCAAAGACGGAAGTGATGTCACCGCTGATGTCACCGCTGATGTCACACCTGCGTGATGATGCCCTCTTTGACGGGCTCCCTGGGAATCAGGTGGATGGAGCGTCCCGCCTCCTTCACCGTGGGCACCATGGCCTCTCGGCCCTTCAGTGGGTCCCCGCGCGGGGGGGAACCCTCTCTCTTCATCTGCTTGGCTTCCCTCCTGAGGTAACCGTCCTGGGGGTCCTGATGTCGCGGGGTACCTGAAATATTTACATGTCAAAAAAAATAAGACCCTGACGGGACCAGACGCGGAGGGAGCGTCTTCCGGGACTGACCTTGCGAGATGGAGCCGTGGATGTGGGGCGCGTCCTTGTAAGGTGCGTGATGTGGACTGTCCCGGTCGTGGGGCATGGCTCGTCCGAGCAGACCTGGCAGAGAGGAGGGAAGGGGGGGTTGTTGGTGTGAATACCTGTGACCAGTGAGTCCAACCGTGTGTGGGAGGAGACCGTTCGCCTTCGCCGGCCGAGTTACCTTCAGGGTTGACCGCGGACAGAGAATCCCTCAGGGGCAGTCCTTTAGAAATGCCCCCCTCCATGGCATCATGAAGACGCTTCAGACCGAGGAGTTCTCCGTGCTGCCCTGGGCCCCGACCTTCATCTTTAGGAGTCTGTGACGCGGCACCTGCCGGGACGAAACGTCACGGGGTTAGATCAAAGTGTTGGTTTGTACTTTTGTTGGACTTTTAGTTTGCCCTCCTGAGAGTCGGCGGCAGAGACCGTACCAACTCCATGTACCATATCTGAACCCACAACCCTTCGGCTGGGAGACGCCTGCAGTATCCACTGAGCTACAGCCAGTAACATGTCTCCTTTTAGAAGCAATTCTCTCCGATATGAAATGAACCGACACTGTTCCTCGACTGGACCCCACTATTGGACCCCACCATACCACTGGCCCCCACTGTTGGACCCTTCCATACCACTGGACCCCACTATTGGACCCCACCATACCACTGGACCCCACCGTTCGACCCTTCCATACCACTGGACCCCTCCATCCCACTGGACCCCACTATTGGACCCCACCATACCACTGGACCCCACCGTTCGACCCTTCCATACCACTGGACCCCACTATTGGAACCCTCCATACCACTGGACCCCACTATTGGACCCCACCATACCACTGGCCCCCACTGTTGGACCCTTCCATACCACCGGACCCCACTATTGGACCCTTCCATACCACTGGACCCCACTGTTGGACCCCTCCATAACACTGGACCCCACTATAGGACCCTTCCATACCACTGGACCCCTCCATCCCACTGGACCCCACTATTGGACCCCACCATACCACTGGACCCCACCGTTCGACCCTTCCATACCACTGGACCCCACTATTGGAACCCTCCATACCACTGGACCCCACTATTGGACCCCACCATACCACTGGACCCCACCGTTCGACCCTTCCATACCACTGGACCCCACTATTGGAACCCTCCATACCACTGGACCCCACTATTGGAACCCTCCATACCACTGGACCCCACTATTGGAACCCTCCATACCACTGGACCCCACCGTTCGACCCTTCCATACCACTGGACCCCACTATTGGAACCCTCCATACCACTGGACCCCACTATAGGACCCTTCCATACCACTGGACCCCACTATTGGACCCCACCATACCACTGGACCCCACCGTTCGACCCTTCCATACCACTGGACCCCACCGTTCGACCCTTCCATACCACTGGACCCCACTATTGGAACCCTCCATACCACTGGACCCCACTATTGGACCCCACCATACCACTGGACCCCACCGTTCGACCCTTCCATACCACTGGACCCTTCCATACCACTGGACCCCACTATTGGAACCCTCCATACCACTGGACCCCACCACATGCAGTATGAAGGTAGTACACGCTAGTACCAGCCAAGTACTCACGGTCGTAGGAGATGATGTGGCCGCTGATGCCTTCATAAACCACCTGGGGTTTGGACATGGCGTCGTCCTTGTCGGGTCTCATGGTGCCGTCGTCGGACATCAGGTGAGTCCTGGAGCGTTTGTACAGCAGGTCGGCAGGTTTCCCCTGCAGGAGGACAGAGGTGGATAAAACCGAGGCTCACTAAAAAATCAGGGTAAAAAATTTTCTAACGACTGTTCCTATTTAAGAGGGCAGGTGGCGCTACACGGCGCAACTTTCTGACACACACATTTATAAGACAACAGTCTGGAGCGTCGGCAGACTGCAGCTAACTGTGGGCCTCAGCGACCTCTGGTGGTAAAGCCCCGTAACTACACGTTGGAAATGGTAGATAATGTCGAACACAGTGAAGCTAACGTGTTAGCGTGAGCAGAAGAAATATTTGTTTCTTTTCACTTTGGTCACACGCGAACGCTGAAGTTTAAAATGTAAAAAATAAAATTTGTGTTAACGGCTGAGTGGTTTCTTCTTGTTGTTGATTCTGACATTTAAAAAAAAAAAAGGAAATCATTGTTCTCACTTCTCACTTTGACGAGAAAAAAAACAAAACAAACAAAAACAGGGACAGAAACAGTGGCTGCAGCTGCGTCTGTAGTTCAGAAACTAAATTCAGCCGATTAAAAAAATGTTGACTTTCAACAGTAACGTCACTAGGGTGATTTATTTATTTAACAATTATTAATTATTTTTATAATTAATCTAATTTAATTTTTTTTTTATCTCATTCTATATTTTATATTATTTTTTACTTTATTTTTTAATTTTTTATTTATTTTTTATTTTATATTTTATTATTTATTTTTTATTTTATTTATTTTTTATTTTATCTTATTTATTTGTTTTAATTTTTATTTTATTTTGTTTATTTTTGTTATTTAATTTATTTTTTTTATTTGAATTATTTTTCATTTTATTTTTATTTTATTATTTTATTTATTTTTTACTTTATTATTTATTTATTTTTATTTTATTTTATTTTTTTTTTTTATTTTATTTTATTTTATTTATTTTTATTTTATCTTA